AGAGCTAGGCATTACCTATGAACCAGAAAGTAGAGCCTGCCTGCTCAGACACCAGATACCAAATACCAACACTTGCCCGGCAAACCCTCTAGAACTGAGCTACATCCTCAGAGCCAAAATATGTATATCTATACAGAAAAATATAAAATAGGGAAAATAGGGTCATGTATGTGTTTTGTAGCCCTCATTTACACTCTCTATATAATGATTATACTTCACATTAGTAAGAACAGATTAGTATAATTATTTTAATTTTAATTTTTGTTATTTATGTGCGTTAGTGGTTTGCCTGCTTGGATATCTGTATGAGGGTATCAGGTATCCCAGAACTGGAGTTACAGATAATTGTGAACTGCCCTGTGGGTGCTGGGAATTGAATCTGGATTCTCTGGGAGAACAGCCAATACTCTTAACCGCTAAGCCATCTCTCAGCCCCCTATATAATATTTTAAAGTGAATAGGTTTTTAAAAATATGAAACTAATGAATGCTAACTGCAGAAGAAATATAAAATAATAATAAAATACAAATGAAATGCATAGAAATGCCACCTTTTAGAAGATACTTTAGCAAACAATGCATCTATATCCATGTTTTTACATACATAGTATCAAAGTTATATATTGTTCTGAAATTAAAAAATTCTTTTCAAGCCAGATGTGATGGCACATACCTGTAATCCCTTCATTCAGGGAGGCTGAAGTCAAAGGGTCCTAACTTATGCCAGACAGGCTAGATAGCAAGATGCTGTCTCCAATAGCCAAACCAGAACAAAACAAAACTAAGAGACCTTGGGGACAGTTTTCTGTGGACTGCAGTGAGGAATTAGTCTTTCTAATGTCTGCAGAACCTTTTGTGACATTAGGACTTGATTGAATTTCTTTGCCACGTGATCACTGTCTAGTTCTCAGAATTGTAAACAGGGCTGCAGTGAACATCCTTAATCTCCAGAGCATTGTTCTCTCTGAGGTAAGAAGTAAACTGGAAAAAAAAAAAAAGTAGAATGTGTGATTGGTAAAGTCCCATGATGTCCCAATTTTGTTTAAAAAAAAAAAAGGAAAATTTTTCTGGGCAGACATACCGGGGGCGATTTTGATTGTTCTTCCTTCAGGTTGTTGGCTAAAGTAGAGTTTCCGACATTGCACAAGAAATATGCTTTTAAAGCATGCTAATGTCACATCTGGTGACATACCTTCTGGTTTCCTCTCTCCATCACGTTTGTTTCCATTCCCTGACCCAGGGTGCTCAGAACCTGCAGCCAGTGTCTGATGTATGTAGAGACAACCCCCCCCCCCGCCCGCGCCCCAGATATTTGATGGGGGTGTTGAAGACTGCCCAGAGAGTGAGTTTGACAAGGTGTGGTGGTTCGTGGCATTAAGACAGCCTCTTCAGATCGTATGGCAAGCAAGGCAGACACAGGTACCACATCCCTGGGGCTAATTGGTTTTCAGCTTGTGAGGGAGATGGTTTGATGTGCCCTGAGAGGAAGAGGAGAAGGTTGGCCTTCTGCTTCCAGGCAGGTGCTACCGTCTGGACTGGCTCTCCACTGATCTGGCCAAAAGGAAGCTAACTGCTGCTGGGCAACAGGTTTCCCCCGCCCCCAAGAGTCCGAAAGGACACGGAGGACGTGTTGTGCCGTGTTTCCATAGAGGTCACAGAGAGAGTGGGCGGCTACTTTGTGCTTGCTGAGTGCTACGACACTTCCTCTTTCATCTGTGCGCCTCGGTCAAGCCAACACCTTCCGATCCCACCTTAGAGACAGCCAAAAAGGGGAACCCAAACAAAACACTGAACATTCAGAGGAGCTGTGTAGTAGGGGACACTGTACTGTCATCTGAGCCGCAGCTGGGAAAGCCACTGGGGAACCGTTGGCATCTTCCTGCCGTCACAGGGGAAACTGCGCTGACGCTTGCTGCACCCGCCCATCCATACAACAAACCGCTAACTTTTCCTTTCCTTCTGTTCGCTTTGTTTCAGGAGGCAGGTTCTTGTTATACAGCCTAGGCTGGCCTTGAACTTGGTGTGTGTAGCTCAGGCTAACCTCAAGCTCCTCCTGCCTCAGTCTAGGAGGTGACATTCTGAAAGTAACAAATAATGGGTGCCTGCATTCAATTTGGGTTGCTGTATTCATAAACAGTATATACGTGTACTTTTCCAAATTTATATAGAGATTGCAGACTCGTGTGCGTATGTGGGTGTGTCTACGTGTGTACATCGGATGGCAACAGGATCTAGAAACTGTCAGAAGCACAGAAAACAAGGCATCAAAGGAGGCCATGAGGCCACAGCACACAGGGCTCCCGACTGCTTAGCAATCTGAGCTTGCCCGCTGATAAGCATCTATTTTGCTCCAGTAAACAAAAGCTGCAGCAGAACCATAACACTTGTTCCGGGAAACGGTAACTGCAGTCATGTCATAAATAATAAAGGGGAGAAAAAAAATCCTCTTTTAACTTAATGGACTAAAAGATACCTTGCTTTTCATTTTTGCTAATGGCCCTTCTCCCCGGGCACTCCCGGGGCTGGCCCATTATGGAAGAATCTGACTTTGGTTTGCAAGTAGGGCACGGTCCCAGACATTAGCTGTAAGCTAGCTGTTTGGGATAAAAACCGTGTTGTGCTGGGTTCTGTAGTTCCTCTGCATGAGGCTGTGTGGCCCCTGTGGGCTCGAGTTCTAGGCTTCAGAGGGCAGGTTCCCGGCAGAGAAGGGAGGAGACAGGTCAACTCCAGTTCTTTTACGCATGGCCTTCCTTTTGAGCATAAGAAAAACATAGGTTAAGATGATTTTTTTTTTATCAATTATCTTCTATGATCTTGCCTCCTGGTAGGGTCCTATTTCCTGAATTGCAACACCCTCCCCTTATCTGCTGTCCTCTCCTCTAGGCTGCTGCCCTGCTTGGGTCATCTGTAACCCTAAATTACCCACCTGTTCCTGCTTCCTGACCAAGCAAACTTTCGTTTCCTTAGGGCAGTGGAAATAGGCTATCGTCCTGAGAAAAAGGAAAACATAGCAAGTGTGAATTCATAGCAGGGAGTGGATGGCTAAGAACCCCTTAATCCTCGCAGTGCGGTCTCAGGCTTAACTAGGTTAGCTAGCTGGGTGTGGCACGTCTGGAGTGTCAGTACGAAGGAGGCATAGGCAGGAGAACTGCCTTGAGTTCGAGGCCCACCTGGGTTTTCTAGTAAGTTCCTGGTCAGTCTGAGCTTCAGAATAGCAGCCCGACTCAAAGAATAAGAAAAAATAAAATAAATAAATAAAAATAAAAACCACAAACTATGTTGGTTGTGAGACTTGAAAGTTGTGTGGCAGGACGGGATGAAAAGCAGGGAGGTAGGGGGTGCTGGAGAGAAGGCTCAGCAGTTCAGAGTGCCTACTGTTCTCACAAACAACCTAAGTTTGGTTCCCAGCACCTACATCAATCAGTTAACAACTACCTTTAACTCCAACTCCATGGGATTGGACGCCCTCTTGTGGCCTCCACAGGCACCTGCATGCATGTGCACATACCTACTTACAGGGACACACATACCTACCCACATACACATAACCAAACCAAACCAAAACAAAAACGCAAGGATTTCAGACTCAGACTTCTGGGCCAGTGAGATGGCTCAGAAAGTAAAGGTGCTTTCTGTGCATGTCTGAAGACCCGAGTTTGATGCCTGGAACCCATCACAGAAGGAGAGAATCACTTCTTTTGATCTCCAGCTTAAGCCAGAGGCAACCATCACACTGTGTCCACAGTCAGGAAGCAGAGAGCTATGAATGCCGGTGTTTGACTTGCTTTATTAGGGACCCCGAATCATGTCCTGGTGCCACCCACAATTAAGCCGGGATTTTCTACCTTACTTAACCCAGTCAAGAAACTCCCTCTCAGAAGTGCTCCAAAGGTGATTCTAAAGCCTATCAAACTGATAATCAAGATCAGCTATCAACTTGGCAGAACTTCACCTGACTCTGTCTCCTGCAGTGCTGGGTTTAAAAGTGTGCACCACCACACCCGGCAAAATGAAACCTTTTAATAGCCACAGTGATATATCATGCAAAAGAAGAAGACTAGCAAATGTAAAGATGAGTGTGATGACACAGACCTGTGATTTTATCATCCAAGAGGCGGGGGCATGTAGCATGAACAATAAAAACCCAGAGACAAATGTTGCGGTTCAACCTGAAGATCAGAAAATCAAAGCAGTCAACCACCGGCTCTTACCTCTACCTCAGACCAAAAATGGGCTATCTTGCCTCCAGGAATCTTCAGATTGGGATTGAGAGTGAGACCTGTCTCCTCCTGTTTTATGTTTTTCTCTAGTTCTGGGATTAAAATGTGCACCACCACCACCACCGCGGGCCTCTATGGCTAACTAGTGCAGCTGCTGGGATTAAAGGTGTGTGAACTGCTGCTTGGCCTGTATGGCTGACCAGTGTTACTGCTTTGCAACAGGCAAGCTTTATCTATTAAAACACAAATAATATACTACAATATTTTCCCTTTTGTGTCTAAAATAAAAAAGAAGGCTATAGCTAATGTAAGAAAAACTATATACAATAAGTACAATAACTATACACAAAATATACATCAACAATGTCTAGTCCATTTGCATTTGACAGATTCAGAGAAAATACTCCATTATCCTATCTTGGTGAACCCAAAATCTTGTACCTAATTTACTTTCTGTCATAACTTGCTTTGTGCATCTGGTAAACAAGGAAAACTATAACTCTCTAGTCTTCAACTCCCTCAGAGACACAAGAAAGAAATAATATTAACTGAGTAAGCAGAAAGTGCAACCAAGCTACTTCCAAAAAAATGTGAGAAACGACAAAACACCCAGCTGCCTGGACAGTCACCCAAAGTTCCTCTGCAATGTTGGGGCATCCATATGTGGCCTACAGGTCTAGCATATTTGACAGATTTTTCTATGAAGCAGGATATTCTGAAGGGCTGTCCCACCTTGTCTTGAAAATGCTTGGCAGTCACTTTCTTCTGTATCCTGCTTATCCAATTAGGACCTCATACTGTCAGCAGTTGAGGCAGGGGCATTTTCTTGCCCGGTGACTAACTTTGCCACGAAGAAAGTAAACTTCACATGGAGTTTTTTTTGATGCCCATTATCTTCTCTGAAGTAGATGGGTGCTGCCAGAAGCAGATATGTCTTGTTGTCATAAAAAAAGAGCCTATGTTATTAAAACATATTAAATGCCATATTCTGTAGTGTTTCAAGATAATTTGTCTATCTAAAATATATCTTTGTTTGACCTTGAAAACATTCCTAATGTGACTGCAAGTTTGATTATAATAGGTGTTTAACTACTAACTTACATTTTCTTATTATCCTAATCAATTGGTGATAATAATTTTCAAGGGCTAGAAATTTGCATTAGATTACTAAATGAGTTGTATAGGTACAATACCCCTTGAATGAGAGTAGAAACGTATGTGAAGTATGTTCTAATGAATCTCAAATTTGCAACAATATACACAATTTGTATACAATATACAAAAATACAATCCAATGTAAAACATTTAAAAGTAGTAGTTGCTTTTTAAAAGTAGATTCAATAATCTACCTTTTTATCTTATCATGTCTATATACTCCTTTTTTTATTTCCAGAGTAGATTCAATAATCTACCCTTTTATCCTATCATATCTATATCCCCCTTTTTTCTTTTCAAAACAAGAACCCTGGATCTAATCTCCTTTGTTTAGCTTTTTTCCTGAACATTACCAATAACAACTTGTAACCAATACCCCTAAACATTGACAAATATCCATAACCCATTGAATGACCAAAAACCATCCACCTCACCTCTTTGGAATATAGGTGTTGTATTCTCAAATTTACTTCCTGCTGTCTGGGGGTGACAGTATCTTTAAGGGATCCTGAAAAGATAAATTTGGGTTAATTATCAAGTCCTGGGGAAGTAGCTGTAGCATTTGTTGTCCAGTCTCTACGTAATGGAAAAGTGCAGGGTTTGTCTCAAATCCTGGCTCGAGTAGTTTATGAGGCTGGACCATCTCAGCTAGCCACCTCAAAATTGTACTGAGCAGTATGTAGTACAAAGCTGATTTTTAGGTGGTGTTTTTCAGCTTAGTGGTGTTATCATAGTCCTGGAGGAATCATCATTGTGGGGCCCCCATTCTCCTTATGGAAACTTCAAAGGTCGCTGTTAGGAGTGCTCATGATTCACTGCTGAAAACTGATAGACTCAAACTTAAAATCATGCACAGGATGATATATGAAACCTTTTTCTAGAACCAGCCTTTTCCAAACTCAAAGCAGTTGCCCATTGAAAATCTGAATAGGTGTCAATGTTGTGGTGCACATATTTTAGTTTTCCAAATTGTACAAAATGAAACACATCCATCTGCCAGATTTAATTCCTTTGAGTACCCCTTGGGTTACTTTCTGCAGGTAGTGGTGTTTGGTTGTATAAAGAACAAGTAGAACATTTCTTTATAATTTCCTTGTTTTGTTGCCATGTGATGGAAAGGTCTTTTTTTTTTTTTTAAAATAAACCTTTGCTATTGACATAATTTTTTAAATAAAATTCTGAGGCCTTCAGCACATTTCCGATCAATAATTAATTGATTACTTTGTGCTAGAGGACCTGGCAGACCTGTATGGCAGACATATACATACATATGTATGTATATATGTGTGTGTGTATGTATATATATGTATTATGACAATTCTTGTTCCTGATTGTATCTTCTAACTGAATAAATAATAAAGTCAATTCTGTATCATCTGATATAATTTCAGCAATTTCAGTATGTAAAACAACTCTTTCTGATTATTGCAGATAGGTAACTATGTTGAGACATTCTTTAAAATCCCTTAGTACCATAACAATAACATATAATTTAGACTTTTAGACAGAATCATAAGGCTCTGATCCACTTTACTTAAATCTTCTAATTTGTAACCTGTCTTTCCTGATTCATTTGCATCAATATAGAATGTAGGGACTCCAGTTGTTGGTGTGTCCCATACAATGTGAGCTACCTAGTTTGGCAGTAGCCCAAGAAGGGGGTTCAGGAAGAACCCTCAAGGAGAGAAATAAAAGAAAAACCTAGCTGGTAGGTCAGTGCTTCTGGTCACGTGTAACTCCGGCCTATGACAGTGACTGTAAAGCCATATGCAAATGGCTTTTTCATGAATTCATACCCCAAACACTGGGCACCAAATGTAGCATGAATAATAAAAACCCAGAGAAAGATATTGGGGTTCAGCCTAAAGATCAGAAAAGCAAAGCAGTCAGCCACTGACTCTTAGCTCTGCCTCAGACTAAACTGGGTGATCCTGCCTCCGGGAATCCTCAGACTGAGACTGAGAGTGAGACCTGGCACCTCCCATCTTATATTCTTCTCTAGTGCTGGGATTGAAGGTGTGCACCACCACCATCTGACCTGTATGGCTGACTAGTGTAGCTGCTGGGATTAAAGGTGTGTGCAACCACTGCCAGGCCAGTGTGGCTGACTAGTGTGACTGCTTTGCACTGATCTTCAGGCAAGCTTTATTTATTAAAACACAAATAATATACCACTCTAGAGGCAGGGAGATTGTTGTGAATCTGTGGCCAGCCTAGGCAACATAGTAAGTCCCAGACCAGATGTGGTGTTAGCCTGAGTAGGGAAGAATTTCCTCGGGTGACTTCAACCACACAGTATACTATGTATCCTCTGCCTATAAGGGACCATGAATAATTTCTGAACTCTTGTTGGCAGGACTATTTGTCCGCAATGATATGGATTTGTTATTCTGAAATTACTCTCAGTGTGTATTGTACCACAAAGCAGTTAAATTCAGAAGCAAATTACAAATAATGGGAGACAGGCTTTTGGTTACTAAGGAAGGGCGTAGGGCCTATGGGAAAAAAGGAGTCGGCAGGAACACCGTGGTCTTCAGAGAGATTGGTAGGAATTCCCGGTGTGGGTGTCTCGTAACTAAATTTGTTTGTTTAGAAATACACCCTGGTGTGTAGAAGTAAAGGGGCATCATGTCTACAGAGGCTTTGAAAAATTATTCAGGAGGAAAAAAAAAATCTGGCCATTGGGGAGGGATCTGGTGGGAGAGGGAAGAGGCTCAGAGAGGATCATGGGCAAATATAACCAAAGTACATTAAAAGTATGAAATTTGGAAAGAATATTTTAATGTTACAGGAGTTAAAGCAAGATACAATGGAAATGGTCAGAAATGGGGGCTCTAGAGGCTAATATGACTCTAACGTAAAGATCCTCCCGCCTTTGCTAACAGGGATAACAGGTGTTTACCACCACACCGAACCTTAAATTATTTAAAAACAAAGTTTTGGGTGGGCCTGATGGTTCATAACTGTTACTCCAGTGTTTGGAAGTGGGAGACATGAGCCCATGATCGTCTTCGGCTACATAGTGAGCTCAAGGCCTGTCTGGTTAACATGACACCCTCCCAAAATAAACTGCTTTGTCAACTTGGTAAGGGCAGTTTGGTTGAGTGAGGACAGCGCGTATTAACCTTGTTACAATAGCTGCGACAAGGATAATTAGAGCAGAATGCACAAGGCACCAAGAGCGCAAAGCTTGAGGGGTGAAAGAGGAGGGGTACAGAGATGGGTGTGTGAGGTCCTTAACTTCCAAGGATGAGAAGATGTTGACAAGGGTAGTGGCATCTCCTGCTCTGACCGGCGGTGCCTGAAGCGCTCAGAGATGCATGAAGGGGGCGGGGGATCAGGAGAGCCTGGGCCCTGGGGCTTCCCCTGGAAGGCTCCAGGAGGTCCGAGCTCGAAGCTCTCAGTTCCCCGAGCTTGAAAGGCTACCCTAGGTCTCACGCCTGGGCCGCAGCCCTGCTTCCTGACAGCAGGTGAGGCCACGACAGTCGCGCAAACCAACCGAGGGAAAGTCCAGCGGGTAGGATGTGTCAAGCCGCGGACACGGCTGACTTATTCGGACCCGGTGGTTAAATTACTCAGGCTCAGCCCACGGGTCGCTGAGCAAACCCAACAGGTGGCCACGTGACCCTGCACTGCCCGAGAGGGAGCGGGCCGCGGTGCCCCCGCGAGGGCAATAGGGGAAACGGCGACGGCAGGGGGTTGTCCGGCACTACCGCGCCCTCTAGCGTCAATCACACCGCGAGCGCTAGAAACGGGCGGGGTCTTCAGGAGGTGGGGCGGGGCCTTCACGGAGTGGGGGCGTGATCAGCGTTTAGAGGCGGAGCCTCAGGAATGAAGAGTACGGTTAGGGGCGGGGCGATGGTCGAGGGGCGGGAAGGCGCGGGCTTTGTGGGCGGTGCCGGCGTGGTGCGCCGGCGCGAGACGCATGCGCACAAGGACCGCCGTGGGAGCGGGAGGGCGGCCCAAGGGCCTGTCCGGGTGAGGGTGGTGTGATGGAACCGACAGGGCCGGGCAGGGGAGGGGGGGGGGAAGGTCTTGGTCTCTGGGGAGGGGCGGATGTGGGAGGGACGGTTGCGGCGGAAGCAGAGGGGACCTCGGGGGCGGGATGTCTCCTGGGAACGACGCCGGCCTTTCCGGTTGCTTCCGGGGGAGAAGAGGCGAACCCTGAGTTCCGGGGAGGCCCCCACAGCTCACCCAAGCGGAGACGGGGTGGTATCTGCAACCAGCTAGCATGATGTCTGACGAGACCCAGTTTGCATGGGGTGTGGGGGGGCGTCCTCGGCCCCCAGCCCACTGCCGTGACTCGAAAATGCCCCCTTACACACGGGGCCTCCCGACCTTCCACTCTGCCCTTTTCGTTAGGGTGAAGGCGCCCTCCACACCCCTTTGCTGGGCATGGCTGCCCTTAGAAAAACTTTAAGTGGGAAAAAGCAACTGGAGACTTCTCCTTTATAAAGGTAGGTAGACTACAGGGGCCACATCTGTTTTATATTTCATCCTGTAAAGGTGAAATTTCAGCCCAGATATGTAGTGAGGGTGAGCTCCATTCACAGCTTAGTCTATAGCGGCCTTTTTAGTCTGGAGTTAGCGCTCCAGAATTCATGTGAGCACAGCGCTAGCTGACATTTCGAAATCATTTGTCAATAAACTGGAAGAGCCCTTAGGTGATTAGAAAACAGAACTGAACGGAAATCTTTCATCTGGTTTTTCTTTCCTAACTCGAAAAGCCTCGTGGGGAACATCAGCTTGACCATAGGAAGGATGGAAGCGCCACCTAAGGACTCGATATGAACGGGAAAAGGCCCGGCAACGTGAGTCCCGCATCTCTTCGTCATCTTAGGGCTTCCACGGTGTTTCATAACTGACCTGAAAAGCTTAAGGGACTGAGGTGTATCTGCCAACATGCAATTAAATTACGGAACTGGGCACTTACATTACTTCCCTTTTTAATTATTGAATATCCTTGAGTACCATTGGTAGGGATGGGTTGGCCATCTGTCCCAAGTGAGCCAACTCAGAATATTGTGATTATTGTCAAATGACAGAGGACATCGGACATCAAGTTAGGCTCCCCGGGTCACCGCTACTTTTGTTTGTTGTGGTTGTTAGTTACTGTTTTTGAGGACAGTCAGGCTGTCCTTCCACTTGCATCTCCTGCCTCCGTCTCCTGAACGCTGGGTTTGCAGGTGTCCCCACCATGCCCAGCTTATCAGTAGCTTTTACGGTGGGAGCAGCAAGTTCTGTAAAAGGTGGAAGGATGGGTTGAATAGTTTTCCTTTTAATTCCTTAGAGACTCTTCCCCAGTGAACCGATTGGATGTGGGAACGCTAGTCTTAATACGTGAAGACATTAGCAGTAGGTCACTTACTCTGGAGAGAAGCTAGAGGTGTATATGAAGGACAGATAGTCCTGGGTATGGCTGGATGAATTTTCTATCTGTCTTCTCATTTTCTTTTCATTCTTAACTTTAGTCCCTCTTTTCTGGCAGACGCAAGTACTCCGGCACTCGGAGCATACCCTGAAGACAGCTCTCATCTCTAAGAACCCAGAGCTTGTGTCACTGTATGAGAAGTTCAACGCTGGGGAGCAACGTTTAATGAATGAAGCCTTCCTGCTGTCTAGCAACCTCTTTGGACCTATCTCTGTGCATTCCCGGTCAGATTGGATCACCGCCCACCCTGAAGCTCCCCAGGATTTTGAACAGTTTTTCACTGATCGCTACAGAAACAAACCCTGTCCCGAGAAACACATTATCTATATACAGTCCATCGGTATGTCCTGGGAATGGTGGTGGTGGCTGCTGCCCAAATGCAAGTGAGCAGGTTTTTTTTTGTTTTGTTTTGTTTTGGGGTTTGTTTGTTCGTTTTGTTTTGTTTTGTTTTGTTTTGAGACAGTGTTACTCTGTGCAGCCCTGGCGAACTTACTCACTCTATAGATCAAACTGGTCTTGAACTCACAGAGATCCGCCTGCCTCTGCCTCCTGAGTGCTGGAATGAAAGGCGTACACCACCACTACACAGCTGCAAGCGATTTTTTATGGCTTTTGTTTTTTCTTTTTTCTTTTTTTTTTTTTTTGTGCTGGGAGTTGAACTTAGGTCCCTATGCGTGTTAGGCATTATATCACATGTGATAATTTAAAGTACTATTATTGTGTGTTGTGTGGGAGGGGACGCAGATGTGCCATAGGACCGCTTTTGTAGAGTTTGGCCTCTGTCCCAGTGAGGCTGTCAGGTGTGCAGCGAGTACCTTCCCCTGCAGAGCCATCTTCATGGCCCTGTGTGTGGCCCTTTTGATACTCATCCCAGTGGCTGAACAGCGAGATTCTCTTCCTTTGACTCCATGTTGCTGTCAGTTAAAAAGTATGGAAGTTTTAGAGCGGCTTCTGTTTCTGTTCCAGTTTATAGAATAAGGTGAAGAATGTTTCCATCACTTTTAAAGTGTCCTCATTTTCTCCCTTTCCCCGTACCGTAGGCTCTCTAGGCAACACCAGAGTTATCAGTGAAGAATATATTAAGTGGCTCAAGGGCTACTGCGAAGCTTTTTTTTATGGTTTGACCGTAAAATTCTTAGAGCCAGTGTCCGTGTCTGCGACGAGGTGTGCCTTTAGAGTGAATGAGCACACACAGAACTTACAGATCCATGCAGGTAAGTAAGAACCTTTGCGGCTGGAATGCACAGAGGGATGTGTGTGTCATATGTATTACACATGCCTTTCTCTTTAAATAGGGCATATCCTGGCATTCTTGAAAAAGAAGAAACCCCAAGATGCCTTCTGCATCGTGGGGATAACAATGATCGACCTGTACCCCCGGGACTCCTGGAATTTTGTCTTTGGACAGGCCTCTTTGACAGATGGTATTCCTTTTTTGATACTGTTTTGATACTGTTCAGCTTGAGGATGTTTGAAGAAATTCAGAGGGTGGGAAGAAGAAACCCGACCAGTAGTGTTTTCAATTAGAGCCGTGTCTTCAGTGAAGTGCCATGCTCGGCCTAGTGCAAAGTGTGCTCTGACAGACTGGTGATGGGGGGTCCTCTCCCGGAGGCCACATCCTCCCCGCCTGGCCTTGGTGTAATAATGCTTTTCTCATGGCCATTGGGAGAGCATTTGTGTTACCGTTCCTACCCATAAATAGTGCTTGAGATGCCTGGTACCTACCCCAGGCGTTCAGCTCAACATCTGGGGAGTTTAAGTTATGTGTTAGCAAGATAAACACCTTAAGGGAATTAGAGCTATCATTAACATTTGTGAAACTCTTGCTCATTCTTTCCGTGTGTATGTGGGGGGAGCAATGGCGCACTAGCACAGTCCGTGGCTGCAAACCCAGGCCTGGCTCAAGGCCAGGACTCTACCACTGAATTACATGTCCTGTCTTAGTTAGGGTTTCCACTGCTGTGAAGAGTCAGCAGCTCTTATAATGGCAAACACTTAATTGGGGTGGCTTACTTACAGTTCAGAGGTCTAATCCGGCATCATGGCAGGAAACAGGGCAGCATGCAGGAAGACAAGGTGCTGGAGAAGGAGCTGACAGTTCTTGACTCACAGGCAACGGGGAAGTGGTGAGACACTGGGCGTGGCTTGAGCGTGTCCATGAACCCTCAAAGCCTGCCCTCATGGTGACACACTTTCTCCAACAAAGCCACACCTTATAATAGTGCCACTCCCTATGAGCTTATGGGACCAATTGCATTCAAACTAGCAGACATCCCTAGCCCTTGCTAGTTGATTTTGCTCTTTTGATCAAGCACAGATGGAATAGCCATAAACAAATATGTAAGTCCTTCTTCAGCCTGCATGTGGCTGCAGCACAGTGGTAGAGTGCATGTCTGGAAAACCAGCTTTGGGCTACGTGTGGTAACATCGCATAACATATGATTGGAGCATTTAGGAGGTGGGGGCAAGTGGATCAGGAGTTGAAGGGTAGCCTCAGCTACCTCGTGAGTTTAAGGTCTGCCTGGGCTACAGACACCTTGTCCACAGCAACCCAGCCAAGCATAATCAGCAGCAAGAAGCCAAAGTTCTTGCGAGGTGTGGAGCTCATGCCTGTGATTTCAGCACTGGGGAGGCAGAGGCAGGAAGACCACAAGTTTACAGCCGGCCTGAGCTGTACAACAATCAATACCCTGACAGGAAAAAATGCAGCGAAGGAAAGAGACCCAACCTAAGCCTCGACCTGAGATACTAAACTTCAGCTCGTTAGAAACTGCCTGGCAGCATTAGACGGGTCTGACAGTGAGTCTGCTTATTTTTCTTTCTCTTTCGTTCTCATTTTTCTACTTTGTTCTCTTGCCCCCTAATTTTTTGCTATTTTCTGTCTAACTTCAACTACACACACATGTGTGCATACATGCAGTGTGCACCCCAGGATCTAAGGCAGGCTGGAAGGGGAAAGGCTAGTTGACTAAGGGAGTGGGCATTAGCGTCCTAGGGAGGAGGCAGTAGGAACCAAGGACAGGAGAGAGCTGATGGTCTGTCGGGATGAATGCCAGGCTTTGGGCCAGGGGCTTCCCTGGCAGCTGTTTGTTTTAAAGGTGGGGCCAGGCTAGAGCTTCTCTCATTACTTCATCCTCAGTGCTCCATCTCTCGAGGTCCTTCATCGTACCCCTGGATCCTCCCAGCATGCGCTTTTGAAGTCTTGGATTACTGTACTGCTCTGTGTTTTTATCAGGTGTCTCCTTTTGTTAGCATTATAGAAATAAAAACATTAAAAGCAAATGCAAAACAATTTATTCATTGACCTAGATACCACTAGTTAATTTATTATATGCTTTTGAGGGTAGTGGATGAGGAAACATGGCCCAAGCTTTCTGTGTTAATTATTTTGTGGGGAAGGTTAAGTTTTAAAAATATTAAATGACATAAAACAAGACATGTCAGGGTAGTGGTTGATCTGATATGAAATGAGTGTGCTTACAAGGGGCCTGGTTTTCTCCAAGATTAAAGACTGTTTTTAAAGAAGAACATTTAAAACATTATGGCTGAAGGGATCACATGAAATAGGCTCACACTTGTTGGAGCAGAGCGAGTCACTGGTGATACATGAAGAGATTTGCTTTTCCTGTTAGAATACTCTTTCCCTAAATTTAAGGGGTCAGTCTGCAGATCCTGAGGGTGAGGTGAGGAGCACCCTTTTGAATCAAGTTGAACTGGACAAAAACCACGAGTTTATTTACTTACAAATAAAGATTTCATGAGTTCGGTAAGGGACTTGCTTGGTGTGACTCTAGCAAAACCATACCAAACCAAACCATCCATAAGGTGGGAGCACTGCTTCGTGTGCTAGGTTCTGAATCCTAGCAACACATACAAATTCTTTAATAGCTGCTGTATGGGGGCTGGGAATTGAACCTTCCTCTGGAAGAGCAGTCCGTGCTCTTAGCTGCTGAGCCATCTCTCCAGCCCCAAATTCATGAATAGTAACGATTGAAAGAGACATAATGAAAAGTTTGCATAGGTGAGCACGGTTGTAGGTCAGTCCCTGGACTGAATTAGGTGTCCAGGTGTCAGACTACTCTCCAGGCCTGTAGAGGTGGCATCAGTGCCTCTGCTATCACCCCCAGGAAGTCAGTCGCGAGACTGTTTATTCTGGCCACTTGTTACCAGCCTGTTGATAGAGTTGCCCTGTGCTTTAAAAAGGAGATAGGGCGTGCGAAGAGGCTCTGCTCTCTGGAGACAGTCTCCAGACAGGACAGTGGGTGCTACCTTAGGAAAAGCCAGAAACTTGACTGGTGTGTGAGGCAGAAGTCTGCCCTTGAGCTCCTACTAGCCAAAAGTCCTGACTGCCTTAGTCACTGTTGATCACGCTCTTCTGGAGTCTTCCCTGAGGGAAGACTGGTAGGAGGAACTCAGTGAAGCTCCCACTGTCGATGTTTCTAGGTTTCTTATGTTTTATTAGCATATCAATTATGCATAATAGTGGGATTCACTATGATGTTTTCACATATGTATATAATACACTTAGCTCATATTCACCTTCCCATTCCTCTCAGGTGCCCCTCCCACCTTTGTTTGATTCCTTCTATTTCAGTCCCCCTTCTAGCTCTCGCGCTCTCTCTCTCTCTCTCTCTCTCTCTCTCTCTCTCTCTCTCTCTCTCTCTCTCTGTGCGCGCGCGCGCGCATGTCTGGGTATGAAGTATGGTTACTTAAGGGAGCATGTGTGAGAGGTTACTAAAGAGAACAGGCATGTTAGCTGTAGCTACACCAGTGGAAAAAAATGTCACTTCCCTCCTCCAGTAGGTCCTTAGGGAGGGTCCTGGACCTGGTGCATCCTCCTCCCTACATTGAATTTTTTAGGACAGGGGAAATTGGTTGGTAGGTAAAGATGGTTGTGGGAATTGGGTCTCATAAGCCAGTGGTACTGGGTGACTAAGCCTTATGGGTGTGGTCTTCTCACTACTGTGAAGGATAAGATCTGAGGATGGGGATCGTGTGTGCTCTCTTTGGGACGGTGAGGGCACTGGCAGAGCTAAGGCTTGGAGTTCCCTTTGGCCTGTTGGGAAAGAGGTTATGGTGCTGTGGCAGAGCTGGTTACCCAATGGGGTCCTCAGAGCAGCTGGTGACACAAGCCAGACTCCACTTTCTGTCTTGTCATCATTGTGCATGGGTTTGATTTAATAATAGATAAAACAGTCTTAAGGCGTCTCACTTTAAAAGATCTCGATAAGGAAGTCTGGGACAAAAGTTGTTTGTGTTGTGTTGGCAATCTTTTAAGTATTTCCAGTGGTGTGGCGTCAGTCCAGATGTGCACTTACTGGCCAGATGTCTGAACAGCCGACTTTTGTCTTTCCTCCGTGTGTCTTACCCAGTGGTAGGGATAAGCCTGTCTTCTCTTTGCAGGTGTGGGGATATTCAGCTTCGCCAGGTACGGCAAGGATTTCTACAGCACACGGTATGAAGGGACAGTGAAGCAGCCCCAGCGAACGGCCTCCAGCGACTATTCCATTTTTGATAACTATTACAATCCCGAGATCACTAGTATTTTGCTGTGGCGATCCTGTAAGGTAAGTTGTTTGGAAATTTTTGTTTGTTTGTTTGGATAGAGATTTTGCTTTCCCAGGATTGTTTGTAGGTTTCTCCTTGTAGGAATACATGTTCAGAGTATGTTTGAAGGGTCCCACAGCCAGTATGCTCATTAGCGTTGCAAGGGTGCTCATCAGCATGCAAGTAAAGTCTGTCTCTAGAGTGAGGAAGCCCCAGTGAACTGCTAGAACCCTACTGGTCTACAGCAAACTTAACTATCCTCCTGCCTCAGCCTTTGAAGTACAAGGATGACAAGCATACGCCACATTTTCACAAATCTGAAGTCTGTACCGCCATCTAGTGGGAAGAGCCCATTTGTGAGGGTTCCTCACACATGGAATAAGCCAACATATTTGGTGTCCCAAAGGGGAAACCCTAGGAAGTCATGAAATGAGCATTGCTAACTGTAGAAGATTCTGGGCAGAATGGAGGTTTGATGATGATGACTCTCCTGGCGGGTTTTGTGTGTCAATTTGACCCAAGCTGGAGTCATTAGAGAGGAAGGAGCCTCAGCTGAGGAAACGTCTCCTTGAGATCCCGCTGTAAGACATTTTCTCAATTAGTGATCAGTGGGTGAGAGCCCAGCCCATTGTGGGTGGTGCCATCCCTGGGCTTGCTGGTCCTGGGCTCTATAAGAACGCAGGCTGAGCAAGCCAGTAAGCAGCACCTCTCTGTGGCCTGTGCATCAGCTTCTGCTTCCGGGATCCTGCCCGTTCCTGTCCTGACTTCTTCAGTGATGAACAGCAATGCTGAAGTGTAAGCCAAGTAAACCCTTTCCTCTCCAACTTGCTTTTTGGTCACAGTGTTTTGTCACGGTAATAGAAACCCTGACTAAGACAGTGGCAATGGTGTTGATCCTGTAAATCTGTTTCTTGGAAAAAGTGTTGTGTAATTGCTAATGGTGGTGCCATAAAGCAGTGACATAAATGTTTTGCAGACTTTAACCCATGAGATCGGACACATATTTGGACTGCGACACTGCCAGTGGCTTGCGTGCTTGATGCAAGGCTCCAACCACTTAGAAGAATCTGACCGGCGTCCTCTAAACCTTTGCCCTATCTGCTTACGCAAGCTGCAGTGTGCTATTGGCTTCAGTATTGTAGAGAGATACAGAGTAAGTAGGGAGGGCTGCAGAGGTAAGGGAAGTGGTGAGTTCTAGTAGGTCTTTGAGAGCTGTGGTTTATCAGAGGAAATTAGGTAAAGGTAAGCAGGAAACTGTGGTTTTTTTTTTTTTTTTAAAGTAGAGAGAGGGCAGGCAAGATGGCTCAGTGGTGGATCCTTTGCTGCCTTGCCACGAAAGCCTGAGGGCCAGAGTCTGGGGCCCTAGAGCCCACGTAAGTGCCCACCTGTAGTCCCACTACATGGGACGTGGCACAGACTCTGGAGGCAAACGGATTAGCCAGACTAGTAGACAGCAAGCTTCGGGTTCATCACGAGAGATCCTGCTTCGGTGTATAAGGGAAGAAAAGCTTCTGAGGTCGACCTTGGGCCTACACATGCACACACTGACCACATCCACTGTGTGAAGCCATGAGAGAAGTACCCATTGCAGACCTTGAGTTTAGGAAGAGAGCACAGCTCCCCAGCCATGGTGCTCCCCCAACCCCCGCAATATGGAGACAGGAGTCAGTCCTGGAGCCTTGGTGCAAGAGAAGACTGACTTGTGCACATGTCCTTTGGCCTCTCCATTCATGCCGTGGCACATATCCCTCCCTCTCAACACTATAAATACATTCCATTGTGGTGGCTCATACTTGTTCCCAGTCTCCTTGCAGAGGACCTGACTTTGGATCCCAACATCCATACAGTAGCTTACAACTACATATAACTCCAGTTCCAAGGGATCCAACATCCTCGGAGGGCACCAGGCATACATGCAGTGCACATATGTACATGTAGACAAAACACTCATAAAGAAAGAAACTTTAATTTGACAATGACTGTCTTATTTATTTTTAGATATATTTATGTATGTTTGCCCTCTGAGACCAGAGGGACTTGTCTAATTCCTTAAGAGTCAGAACCACCTGATGTGGGTGCTGGGATCCAAATTCAGGTCTACTGGAAGAACAGTAAAGACGCTTGTCTGTCTGTCTGTCTCTCTCTCTCTCTCTCTTTGCTTTTTCAAGACAGGGTTTCTCTCTGTAACAGTCCTGGCTGTCCTAGAACTCCCTTGGTAGACTAGGCTGGCCTCAAACTCACAGAGATCCTCCTGCCTCTGTCTCCCAGGTGCTAGTATTAAAGGTGTGTATCACCACTGTCTAACATAGTAAATGCTCTTAACCATCTCTCCATTTCTGATGATGACTGTTTTATGCTTAACATTCAGTGAGAAATGGTAAAAGGAATTTATCTGTTACTTGTCCATTGGGTCAAAAGGGATTGGTTCTATAGAGCAAAAGGCATGCTGATTTGTGTAGTAGAGTTTACTTTTATATTTTGGTTGTGAGCCTAGCCTTTAATGCTGAGCCATCTCTCCAGCCTGAGTTTACTTTTATAAGTATAGAACTGTGTAACTATAATTTTCCAAATATGTGTCAGACACGAGTCTGTTAGAAAAAGAGTGGATGTCTTTAAGAATAGAGATGACTCGCTGGGCGGTGCAGCCTTTCCAGCACTTGGAAGGCAGAGGCAGGCGGATCTTTGTGAGTTCAAGGCCAGCCTGGTCTACAAGAGCTAGTTCCAGAACAGACTCCAAAGCTACAGAGAAACCCTGCCTCGAAAAATGAAGAAAAGAAGAGAGACGACTCCTGGTATCCTTGTGCACACATCAGTACACATCCCGGCGGTTGCCTGTGGTCTCCCTGCTCACGCAGGGACAGCATTTGACTTTTTCCATCCTGTGTCTTCACATACATGTCTGCTCTTGCCTTCGGGTATAGTTATGTTATCTGCACATGTGCATTAACCTAACAGCACAGCACAGTGCCTTATAGAATAAACAAATGGAGGAAAGAAATTAAAATTCCCTTGTCATCCTAAAATAGTGTAAGAATTAGTATAGTTCTTTTTCCTCCGCATATTTTTTGTTGTTTTCAGGTTTTGTTTGTTTTTTTGAGGTGGGGTGGGGTTTCATAATGTGGCCCTGGGCTGGTCTGGAGTTCACCATGTAACCCAAAGTGGCTATGAACTTGTAGCCATCCTCCTTTCTGAGTTCATAGATTATGTTCTCTGTAGTTTTGGTCCATGCTGTTTCTCTCAGTGTTCACTCATGTCTTGTACTCCTAGCCCACTCCATCAGATTCAGACTGTTCATGGAGGGCACAGCCACGGATTTAGATAACCTCACTCTGGTACCTGCTATTGTGCCTGAGACTGTTTTGTTGAAATGCAGTGTTTGTGTTTTCAAGGCACTGCTGAGATGGATTGACGATGAACCTAGCCACGCATCAAGAGCAACTCCCAGAAATAGTTCAGTCGATGTGAATTTGCCGAAACCTGTGGAAGCCTTTAAGGACTGGAGAGAGTGGGTAGTGAAGTGCATTGCTGTTCTGGAAAAATAAGGACTTTGACGTAGGAGTAACTGAAATAAGTACTAGCACCCTGGGCGTTTGTGGGTACAGTACTTCATTGGGATAAACCATCTCCTGGTTCTGTGCTGAGGCCAGGGAACAGACTAGAAGCTTCTTTAAAGTTCCTGGACCAAAATAAGGTTCACTGAGAACAAGGAAAACCCTCTGCCCTTCTCTCCTGTGTCATTAGCTTCAAATTGGATTAGCTGAAGCTAGAAGGTAAATAAAGATTTTAAAAAAATGACCATCCTGTATTCCTGTATTCATGCGAGGAATGAATGAACACTTTGCAGGGTTGCTTTTGCTTCAGAAAGCATTACTGCCTCTTGTGTGTGCGTGGGGGGGGGGGGGGATACAGCTAAGTCACCAACAATGTGAACTTGCACGAGTTGCTGCCTGCAGCCTCCTCTCCTGACCCGTGGGTACCCTTCATTCTTTCCTGGCCATTTACGAGCTTATCCCTGAAAGAAGCGACAGCTGGGACAGCTTATATCAGGTCTTCGCAGTGAGGACACTTCGCAGTGTGGTCCTTTCCCACAGCAGCTGCTGGCGGGGAGGGGTTTTAGCGCCGTTCTCTGCTGTAACTGCTGTCGTGACTGACGGCCTTTACAGAAAACTCACAATGGTGCTTCCCTCCGTGTCGGTTGCATTCATTCTATAGGGCTAGGGGAGACTGAAGTTTGTTTTGCCCACTCCATTGCATTGTGACTTGTTTGAATGGGAAGAGAGTGAGTCAGGATGCCAACAATGCCTGTGGTGGCCTGTCAGCCTGTGACATCAGTCAGTTGCTGTGGTAGTGAGCAAGCGGACAACCTCAGGGCCAGCAAGTCTGTACGGTCAATGTATCTTGGGAAACCAGAAGCTACTGTTCCTTCATGCCGGTGAGACGGTAGGTTGGCCTCCTTTATTGCCCATTTGCAGTGTTGGTTTTTGTTTCTTTTCTTTTGTTGTCTTCCTTTGAGACAGGGTCTCTATCTAGCCCTGACTAGCCTGGAACTCAATATATAGACCAGGTTGGCTTTGAACTCATAGAAATCTCCTGCCTCTACTTCCCAAGTGTAGGAATTAAAAGGCATGTGCCACCATACCTAGTAATGTTGGGGTTTGACCCAGGGCCTTGTGCATGCTTAGTACTCCACAGTTGAGTGACAGTCCCAGTCCCCCCTTTCTTACTTCTTATCTGATCTTTAAGGTAAGACTTACATTCCTTCTTTTCGCTCTCATTGTCTTTTTTTCTTTTTAAATGGTTGGGAGGGGGAGGGACAGCCGCAGGTGTCATTCCTCAGTGGTTAGGTCAAGCAGGCTGTTCAGTAAACATCAGGGATCCCCCTGCCTGTTTCTTCACCCCCATCCTTGGGGTGCTGGGTCACCCTTGGGCCTCTGTTTACACAGCAAGCACTTTAGTGACTGAGCTATCTCCAGCTCTCTTTTCCTATTTGAAATCTAAATTCTTTCATTGTTGTAACTTAGACGGTGTCATTAAAAGCACTCTTGCCAATCAAACCAGTGGTTTTCCTTAGATTCGCTTTCTTGGTTAAACGCCTTTTAAATCAGTTTTGAAAACGGCAGCTTGTCACTGGCATCAGTTGGAGACTGTTGATGATTGTTGTAATATTGAAAAGAAGCAGATGGGTTTGACGTGTCTTGTTTATGAAGTTTAATTCTCCCTTGAATGGTTACTCCTAATTATTCCCAGTTCTATGGTTTTTTTTTTCCTACCAGGTAAATGTAATTCTCCTGTGGGTCAACATTAATCATAAACCTAGAATGGATATTTGCCTAGGTTAAAAAATTGGGGATTATAATTATCTGGACAAGATAAAGAATCCTTTTGAGGGCTGGAGAGATGGCTCAGTGGTTAAGAGCATTGTCTGCTCTTCCAAGGGTCCTGAGTTCAATTCCCAGCAACCACATGGTGGCTCACAACCATCTGTAAAGAGGTCTGGCGCCCTCTTCTGGCCTTCAGGCACACAGACAGAATATTGTATACTAAATAAATAAATAAATAAATATTTAAAAAAAAAAAAAGAATCCTTTTGAGCCTACTCTGCCAAGGAGCCAGGAATAAGAACTTCTGGAAGAAATTACTCACTGTTGCTGAAAATGAGACTGAACAACTAAAAATTACATAGCAAACATTTATTAAGCAGTCTTCATTTAAATGATGTTATAACAAATTAGATTGTGTACACTTTTGGAGAATTTTTAGGATTAACTTTAAAAAATACAATCTAGGGACTGGTGAGCTGGCTCAAAAGGTGAGGCACCTGCCACCAAACCTGAGGACTTGAGGCTGATTCCTGGGACTCACAGGGTAGGAGAGCACCAGCTCTCCCAAGATGCCCTCTGACTTACTGCATGGAGAGACAAAGACACACACACACACAACAGAGAGAGAGAGAGAGAGAGAGAGAGAGAGAGAGAGAGAGAGAGAGAGAGAGAGATTAAGGAATGTGTAATTTACTGTGCCTGCAACTCAGTGGGAGAGTTTTTTCCTCCAGAAAGCAGGAGAGACGGCTTGAGGCACGATGCACATTGCACTAGCCAGCACCTGGAGGTTTTGCTTTGCACATGCTAAGTGAACACGGGGTTAAAATACTGATGAAAATAATTTCCCAATGTCTAAATACCGCCCTAGAAATAAGTGACTTTGTTTAAGGAAATGCTCAACATCCTTAGTCATCAGAGAAATGCAAATCAAAACAACTCTGAGATTCCATCTTGCACCTGTAAGAGTGGCCAAGATCAAAAACACTGATGACAACTTATGCTGGAGAGGTTGTGGGGTAAAGGGAACACTCCTGCATTGCTGGTGGGAGTGCAATCTGGTACAACCCCTTTGGATGTCAGTGTGGTGATTTCTCAGAAAATTAGGAAACAACCTTCCTCAAGACCCAGTAATACCACTTTTGGGTACATATCCAAAGGGTGCTCAATTGTGTCACAAGGACATGTGCTCAACTATGTTCGTAGCAGCATTGTTTGTTATGGCCAGAACCTGGAAACAACCTACACTGAACAACAACCTTCCCCTCGACTGAAGAATGGATAAGGAAAATGTGGTACATTTACACAATGGAGAACTACACAGCAGAAAAAAAAAAACGACATTTTGAATTTTGCAGGCAAATGGATGGAGCTAGAAAACATCATTATGAGGAAGTAACCCAGACCCAGAAAGACAATTATCACATGTACTCACTCATAAGTGGTTTTTAAACATAAAGCAAAGAAAACCAGTCTACAAATCACAATCCCAGAGAACCTAGACAACAATGAGGACCCTAACAGAGGCATACATGGATCTAATGTACATGGGAAGTAGAAAAAGACAAGATCTCCTGAGTAAATTCGGAGCATGGACCTTAGGAGAGGGCTGAAGGGGGGCGGGGGAGAGGCAGGAAGGGGAGCAGAGAAAAATGTAAAGCTCAATAAGTGTTGACATCTCAGACCACGAAAACCTAATAGAGACGGCTGAACAGGAGCAATAGGCAAGGATTTTTATCTAGTTTGTACTTTTCCTTCATTATTCCTACTTGGTTCTGTGGGACAGGTATGTAGGTCTTTAAATGGTTGGGAGGGGGAGGGACAACCGCAGGTATCATTCCTCAATGGTTAGGTCAAGCAGGCTGTCCAGTGAACCTTGGGATCCTCCTGCCTGTTTGTCACCCCCATCCTATGGGTGCTGGGTCACCCTTGGGCCTCTGTTTACACAGCAAGCACTTTAGTGACCGAACTATCTCCAGCTCTCTTTTCCATTTGAAATCTAAATTTTTTTCATTGTAACTTAGACAATGTAATTAAAAACACACTTGACAATCAAATCAGTAGTTTTCCTTAGATTCGCTTTCTTGGTTAAACGCCTTTTAAATCACTTGGTGTCCTTCTGCCTCAGAGCCTCTTCGGGGCTGGCATCACAAGCGTGCCCCGGGCTTGCTTTTTGAAGCAAACACTTCCCTGACAGAGGGCTAAATGACTCATCTCAAACCCGTGGAGGAACAGAGGCCGGGGCTGTTGGTTGCTTCTTCTCCGGAGCCCCAATGATAAAATCCAAGCAGGCAGCGGCGGGACGGCTATAGCCGCCGAGCGGGCCCTTCCCGGGCAGGAAGCGCGTCGTTGTCCCCGGCTGCACCGGGGAGCCATCCCTCCCGCGGACGGCTTGTGGCGGGCGACACCTGTGACCGCCCCTGGGAGGAGAGTGGAGTGGCAGCGTGGCCTGCAGGGCGCCAGGAACCCAGGTAAACCACCGCAGCCTGACACACCCCAGGTCGGGATGCCCCGGCACCTGAACCGTGGGTGGAGTCGGTTCTCCTGTAGAGCACTTGCAAAACTCTTCTGCCGAAAGCTCGAATATCCGGTTGGGGGGGGGGTGTAGTCCAGGGCAGTCCTCTTCCATACAAATTCATGGGTTCGTTCCCCCCAGCACCGCCAACAACAGACAGACAGACAGACAGAACAAACAAACAACAAAACCCAACTAGTCTTAGTCACCTTCTGAGTTTATCTGGAGCAACTCCGTCCCATAAAGAACTACCACAAGTCATGCATGTAATTTTAACTTGTCGGGTAGATCCTCTGACCAATGGAAAAAGAAACGGGTGGAGTTCATTCGTCCCAGGGCCACCAAAATGCCATCTTAGTACGTGATCACTGTAAGGGCTGAGAGAGACTTTGTTTTTCTTCCAAGTCTTCAAAAACCTCACCTGACATCTCCACTCCGGTTGGCTGCCCCGTGTGACTGTGGACTGTGTTGGACAGCGCAGCCCTGGACTCCTACTATCCCGGAGTCTAAGTGGGAGGCTGTGCCCTTAAGACCCAGGCCGCGGTAGAGAAAGGCCGAGCTAGGGACTTTGCGGTGCGGGTCCAGGTGCTCCAGGCGAATGTGGCACAGGCGACCGCTGCTTCACCTCCAGGGGGCGCTCTGAGAGTTTCCCCTCCATCCCGCTCTCCTGGCCTCCCTTCCTTCCTGTCTGTGTGAGACAGGGTCTCACTATGTATCCCCGACTGGCCTCAAACTCACCACGTGGCCAGCCCTAAGCTGGCCTCAAACTCACCATGTAGCCCTAAGCTGGCCTCCAACTTAGGTCAGTCCTCCTGCCTTAGCCTCCCCAGAGCTGGGATCACGGACATTCACTACCATTCCTGATTTGCAGATTTTGTTTTTTCAGGCCTTCCTCTCATTGCTTAGGGCCTGGCACTTCCCTGGCGTATATTTCAGTTTGGGAAAGCCGAATTGTGTGTTTACAAATGTGGGAATCGTCTAGTCTTAGACTGTGGGTAGCAACCCCTCACGGGCTCCTAGAACTGGGTGTTGGGGGCACAAAAATCAATCGGCAACTGCCAAAGGTATCTAGATGTGTAATTAGGGCTGTAGAGATGGCTCAGTGGTTAGTGACAGTGACCGCTCTCGCAGAGGACCCGAGTTTGATTCCCAGCACCCACATGGTGACCTGCAACCATCTAGCACTCCAGTTCCCGGGCATCCAATGCCCTATTCTGTCCTCTGTGGGCGCTGCATGCACGTGTTATACAGAAACACACGAGGTGAAATACTCATACACATTGAAATGTCTTTGAAAATCAAAGTGCAATGTCCAAAAGTGAATTTAGAATCAAGCATGTAATGAACCGAGGTGCTTCTGGCAGGGCATGCCAGTGCCACACTGAAAGTTCACACACAACACACGCACTGCAGTGCACGTAGCTTTACGTCACACGTCTCCCGTGAAAACCGTCCCAGATTCCCCAGCTGAGATCCCGGACAATCCTATGTAAAGAGTTGTGGTGTTTTGGTGCGTATACAAAGTCTTCTGCTCCAACAGAAGCGTGGTTTAATTGTAGAACACACTACTTTTGCAATAGTCATGCCTTAGCCTGTGTCGTTAGTGTAGTTAAAGATTTTATTATGTTAAATGTTTCCATTTGAGTGGCTGACTTCAGCTTTGTTACAACAAAATCCGAACGATGAGTTTGTCTTGAGATTAGGACAGAATTTCTAACAACTTCTCAAATTGCCCTAAATACACTTCTACCCCTCGGTACTTTTTTTTTTTTTTTTTTTTTTTAATGAGAGGGGACATTTTCAGCACTGAAATTTAAATCAATCAAATGTACTAGCTGTGGAAAATGTTGAAGATGCTGTGGACACTCAGCCATGATTTAATCCCCCTCCCTGTTTGCCTGTGTGTATCTGTGTGTGTTCTGGGGATCAAGCCCATGCCTTTATGCATGCTAAGTGCTCTACTACAGCTCCACCCCAGTCCGAAAGTTAATCCTTTATGTAGAAAGAAACAACTACCTCCATCTCGTTAGTATACAAGTTTGCTTTCATCTTTAAGAATTGTTTTTAAGTGAATTTATGATTTATTACCAGTAAATGCTTGATCTGCATACCTCTTTGATATGCCTACATACCCCGGGTCACAACAATTTCTCAAACAGAGAAGAGGGGTCCCTAGTGGGGGTGTTTAAGATGACCTGGTGTCGTGCATGTGGAGATAAGGCGGTAACAGCCGAGGGAAGTGTGACATTTAAACCAGGGGCAGAAGTTGGACCCGATCCAGGTGGTTCTAATGCCAAGGTCTGTGATGCTTTCGGGTGTGACCTCGCGCAAGTAAAATACTCCCAGTGAGAACCCAAGCCACTGTTTTGCAGATTGTTTATAAAAGGGCTTATGGGATCATGCTGTCCTTCAGCTTCTTTTCTAATCCAGATGGGGTCACCTAGGGGGTTAGTAAAGAATCAAAGGAGTCAGACTTGGGCCTTAAGGGAGGAGGAAGAGGTACAGGGTCAGGAAAGCACTTGCTATCAACGGAGGCGTTTTTTGAAGGGAAACTGGGCTGGTGAGATGACCCACAGGGTGAAGGTGCTTGCAGCCAAGCCTGATGTTCCGAATTTGGTCCCTGGGTTATCCTCTGGCTTCTGTCTCTACACTCTATCACACCCGCCGTACACACACACACACACACACACACACACACACACACTACACGTAGTAATGATAATAAAGAAGAACCATGGACTATACATATCCCTCAGTAATACAGTACATGTCTAACACTTGTGAAGCCTGGGGTTTATCCCCAGCACCACATAAAAGAGAAGAGGAGAGAAGCAGCTAAGTTTTATTTTGTTTGTTTCGCTGCCCAGGTCTTTCTGTGTGCTGGGAAAGTGTTCTAACCCCAAGCCACACACCCGATCAGTAACTGTGCGTTGCAAAATGGCTAGTGGAAAGGACTTGAAATGTCACCAGCACAAACATAGGGAAACCGTCTCGGACGGTAGATAGGCCAGTCACTTTGGTTTGCCCTCACTGTCCATTGTATACATGCACTAAAACGTCACGCTGTGCTCTGTAACTGTGTACAGTTTCCGTGTGTCAATATCTATGGGGCCCCAGGCGTGGGTGTACACACCTGCAACCCCAGGATTTGTGAAGCTCTGGCAGAAGAATGGTGAATATAAGGACAGGTGGGACTATTACATCGAACGTTCCGGGCCAGTTGGGGCTACATGGCTGTGGGATAGGAAGCAGACTAAGTTAAAACAAAATGTGCATGGGAAATATATTAATCCCACGGCCCTCCATCTGCACGGATGGCTACTTAGCGTTCCTTTCTTCCGCCTGCTGTCTTCAGTCTCTGCTCATGGATCCATTGGTGTTTGATTTTTTTTTTAAAGATTTATTTATTTATTATGTATACAACATTCTGCCTCCATGTATGCCCACACGCCAGAGGAGGGCGCCAGATCTCATTACAGATGGTTGTGAGCCACCATGTGGTTGCTGGGAATTGAACTCAGGACCTCTGGAAGAGCAGACGGTGCTCTAAACCACTGAGCCATCTCTCCAGCCCGGTGTTTGATTTTTTTTTATAGCCAACATGCTATACAGTACTCGCTTGCTGGGTGCTTCGAGCCCAATCTTTGGGTCTTGGAGTGACAGTGGTTTCTGTGCAGGATGTTTTCGGCTTACTGTGACTCACCAAAGTGAAGTAGCAGCAGACTCCTGGGCTCTCATCGTATATAGGTACTGGTTTTGAAAACTCATGTAACACAGGGGTCTGCCAATCAGTTAAAAATAACAAAACTAATTCATTCACATGCATAGTCTCTTTTTTTTTTTTTTTTTTTTTTTTG